GTCGTAGTCGTAGTCGTAGTCGTAGTCGTAGTCGTAGTCGTAGTCGTCGTAGTAGTAGTAGTAGTAGTAGTAGTAGTAGTAGTAGTAGTAGCAGTAGTAGTAGTAGTAGTAGTCGTAGTTTGAACTGTTTTTGCTTTGGTGTTGCAAATGAGTCCGCTTTGGTGTCATAAGCGAGTCTGTCCTGGGTAGGTTTTAGGTGTCGCAAGTGAGTCAGTTTTGGTGTCGCAAGTGAGATCCTTGCCCAGTATAATTGTATAATATGGTACAATATGTTCACAGCAAGACAATGCCATCCCAAAAGGTATGTGAAATACCAAGACTTTTGGCGAGTGCCTCATTTCTTCAGAGACATGGAGGCGCGCGCGCGCGTGTCTTCGCATAAAGCTTCGCACCCATAGAAAGCCACTAGTAGTAACAAGGGCATCGCTACGAACGTAACAAGGTCATTACTACTAGTAACAAGAAGCTACTAGTAGTAATTCATGCCTTTGTCAATAACTACTTTTTCTGTTTTTTAGACTGCAGCTGCTGACTGGGATCAGTTTTTCCTGGCTGTGCTTCAGGCAGATCTGGAGGATGAGGAAGAGTGCCCCAACAGTTGTATTGTGGGAACAGCCTCAGCCACCCCGACGTGCATGATTTGTCAATGCTGAGTCATAAGTTGGCCTGGTTTTCCGAATTCTTCTCGGAAGGTTTTCTTTTCAAAAAGGCATTCTCGTTCAAAGGTTGGAATCGGTCCAAGTCCTCAAGCCACCAAGATTTCTTTCCAAAGATGAAAGATGTGCAACGTGCCCGCTGCTTCATTCCTTCATTCCAGTAGGTACATCGAGTCGTTGCATATGCCAGAGGAGGCATGGAGTGAATGACAAACGCAAAAGTTGGGTTCAGCAGGGCGTCAGTTGTGAAGGACGAGCCGAAACGGCGGGTACGGCTTCTAGCCCAAAGTCTTGGCCTTTGCCGCAGACACTTCAGCCAATCTTTCTCTGAAATGCTGTTGCCCTGACATGCCCTGAAGATCCCTGAAGAATATGAGAAACACTGGCATAGGGGCTGCACGGAGGCAGTGCGGATTTAGCTCAGACTTCGATGTGCTGAATGTGCGGCGTAAAGCCAGCAAGAATCAGTTGGAACTGTTTTGTGACTTCGTTCAGCTTAAGCCTGTAACTTGGGACCGAGGTGAGAGAGAGTTTCTCATCCAGGGCTTGCGGCAGCAGTGGGGCTGGCAGGGTTGAAACTTGAGACGCATTAAAACCCCCTATGCCGCCTATGCCGAATTCAACACGTGATTTAAGTTAGATAGGCCCAAATTTCAGCACAGCAGCTGGTTTGCCTAGCCAGGTTTCAAAAAGCTACGGCCGCTTACTTGACAGCAGCTGCGGCAGCACCAAACAGCCGACCGAAGGAGCATTTGGAAGACTTGGAGCGGATCAAGCAGGAGTGTGCACAGTGCCCGGCTATAACACAAAACGTCACACAACCCAAAGAATTGTGTGCTTGCTGAATGGTGTACTGTAAGCAGCCATGGTATTTGGGAGTTTGCAAGACAGTTGAGTTGATGGTTTTGCTGCGGCGAAGGCGAAGGGCGTTTCCATTCCTGAACTCGAATCGTGCCCCCAAGGGGCGCAGTGTCAGGACATTGCCAATCTGAGCCATCCTTATGTTTTTGTGGAGGCCACCTAAGTAAATGGTTAAACTATAGCAACTAGAGAGACACTTCGGAGCTGACGCAGGCTTGAAGAGTTGGTGGCGCAGTGCTGCGGATCACTGCGGAATGCCGTGCAGATGATTTTTCCGATGAGCTGTGTCACCCGCATCAAAGAATCCGGTCCCATGAATTCAATGCATGCATGATGCTCGGAAAATACCATGGCCCCATCCCTGACGGCGCAGATGCTAGGACCCTTCACAATACAGTTGCACTGATGCAGAGACGAACTCGTGAGATGAAGTGTCTGAAGATTCCCGCAATCCATTCTTTTGGCTTTCAGGATCTAGCTGAACATAGATGGCCTCGGCCAAATTCAGATCTTAGTAGTCTCGGCGGAGCCGAATTCATGGACCTGTGCATTGAGTACACGGTGACCTTTCCTCGTTTTTTCCTCTTCGCAGTTGGAGATGCGCGATGTTGGTTGTTCCACAATGTGATTGAATGCGATGTTGCAGCGATGCATGTTATGCTGCCAGTTCTACTATGGGGAACGGGCTGCCAGAAGTGTTTGGATGCGCCTGCTACTGAGAACTTGTGCAGAAAAGGCAGCAGTATGATTCTATGATGTGGAACTTGCATCCCTCCACTCTTGCAGCACAGGTCCGGTTCCTGCAACTCTTACGGTAGTTGGTAGCAGCAGGGGCCTCAGATCCGACTGAAGCGAACTGCTTAGCTTGCAATTTCACAAGTTCGTTTGGCCTTGATTGGCTTGGCTTTCGCAGCACTTCCATGCTTCCCACTTCATGTTGTGAGCAGATGGCCAAGCAAGCAAACATGGCGTGCCAACGAAACTCCCTGAGCTTCAACTATACATCTGATTCATTGTCAAACCTGCTATCACCTTCTTCGCTCCCTTTCATACCTTTGCCCCACAAAAGATAAAACAAGTTTGTTTCGGTCAGAAGTCACTGAAGAAAGTCACAGTCACTGAGGCTTCTTCTTTCTCCTTTTTTTTGGAAGCATGCAGGGAGGTTCGGTGATCCAAGCCGCTGGACCAAGAGGTGCCATTGTAGCCACCCAGATGCAAGCAAGGGGCTGTCTGGGCAGCTGCAGCAAGCTAGCTTAGAATATGCAATGCTAGATCTCATGTCAATCTCATGTCAGGCCTTCAAGATTCTTCATTCGTATCTTGAAGTTGCTTGCTTTCTTTGGCAAGTAGGCTCCAATGATGTGGTGGACAGTGGTGACGCTGTAAAGGCAATTCCTTGAGCTGACTCTAATTCGGGAAGCTAAGGACCCTATGCCTGTGCGGGCAACGCCTGAGCCTCGCTTTCGGACCTTCGGAAGTTTTTTTTCTTTTTTCTCAGTGCTCAATTCAATTGACCATGGACCGTGCACTACAGCAATGCCAGGTCAGAGAGGAGTCTCAGCCGTATCCCGGCTTATATAGAGTTGACACAGTCTGACAACAACGTCCAGAATCTTTCGTGACTACTATGCTGCAAGGGCTTGAAAAGACAGGTCCATGTCAATCTCACTTCTATAAATGTACGCAGAATCGACGCAGAGAGTTGGTTGACACGTTTAGGGCGACAAAAGTTACGCAAAGATGAACATCGTTTTCGAAAGGACCATCGCCACTTGAGTTGGCCCCAAAACATAAGGCCCCGATGTGGCCGCCTCACGATCAAAGTCGGAAGAGGCCACTGAAGCCACAGAGGCAGTGCCAGATGCCGTGGTTAATCGGCGGTGTACGCGTTGTGTCGAGTCATAGGGTGTGCCAGTGGGCCAGATTGAAACCGAACTTGACCAGGAGGGTAGCCCGGTAGCCTGCAATCTGAATGGACCTCCCTAGGAGCCCTTCCGGCTAAAGCGTTGACATCCCTTGACTCAGGCAGAGGAAAGGACTGATGCCATGCCTGCTTCGTTCCAGAGCGGTCCCGAAGAAAGCGCTGATGACCTGGTGGGACAGAGCATGGTGAGACCAGATGCTCGACCCGAGCCCGAGGACACAGAGCCAGAGCGCCAGCACCAGGATGTGCATGGATTCTCCAGACTTGGAAAATCGGATGCCTCCAGCTTTCAGCCCCTTGGTCTTTGGAATGTGATGTGTTTTGTTTGCTTGGGATGTCCGATTGGGAGAAGTTTCTTGCTCCTATTTGCAAGCCTTTGCCCCAAGCAATTTCAGGCAAGAGAACGAGGGTGAGAATGAGGACCTAGACGAGCGCGTTGCCCGTGCCAATGACGATGAGGAGATTCGATCAGGCAACCGGGCGCGCGAATCTGGTGTGGACAGTCCAGGTCCAGATCTAGATAGAGGTCACAGAGAACACAGTTCATCCTTTTCGGTGAGCGGGAGTGGTGCCTTCCCGGGCCAAGAGCTGACATCTGCTGAGAACGGCCTCGCACAAGCCGGAGTGGCCATCAAGCATGCTGATGAAGAGGATCAAGCTGAGCAAGATACAGAAGGCACGGAGCTTGATAAAGACGGCCTTCCCTCAGCTCCAGACCAACTGTTGGTTAGCAGCGGGGAAGAAGCCTACGAGAAGGGTATCAAAGATGAAGTTGACTTGGACGATGATCAGCCAGCCCAAGAAAGAGACAGTGCCCAGCCTGGCAAAGGAAGTCTTGGAGATGCTGCTCCAGAGGATAATGATGAAGACATCCCGGAGACTAACGATATGCACCCTGGCAGAGGCAGCCTTCTTTCTGGAGAAAAGATGGGCATCGGTGAAAGCAACATAATCGGCAACCAGGCAAACGGCCTTCGTGGCAGTCAAACAAGTTCGAAAACCATAGGGTTTGACAGCTTTGACAACCCAAAGGAGGAAGCATCCAAGAAAGGCGGTGGCTTTGCAGAAGATGCTGCAGTTGGTTTGAAACCTGCTGCTGACAGCATAGGAACCGACACAATGGAAGAGACTAAAAGAACAAAGCTTCGCGGCAATGGATTCACTAAAGAGAGGACGGCAGATGGCTTGAGTCCAAAGTCAGGTAGCATTCCGAAGGCCACCACAGAAAAGGTGAAACTTGGCATTGGAGGATCCAAAGATGAGAAGCTGTCAGATAACTTAAGACGAAAGTCAGGCAGTAGTCAGAAAACAGGTGCAGAAGGCAAGAAAGTAGGACCGGAACTTGGCATCGGAGGCTCCAAGGAGGAGAGAACCTCAGACAACTTAGGACAGAAGTCCGGTAGGGTGCCAGCCACTGACAGTGCGGATACTGGCAGTACAGCTGATGCTGTCACAGATGTGAAGCATGGTGCTGGCCAAGTTGATGATGCAGAGGAGGAAGTGGATGCACCGCGCATTGGTGCAGGACCCCCTCAAAAAGCAGTCACAGACAAGTTGAAAGAGAAGCCAGGTGCCGAGGATTCAGTGGAGCAAGAAGAAGATGACGCAGAAGACCCAGTGAAGGAGGGAGACAAGATGAGACCAAAGTCAGGTAGCCTTCCAAGCACGAACCCTGCAACAGCTATCAAGCAGCCAGTCGACCAAGATGTTGATGATGTAGAAGAGCAAGAAACAGGAGAAATTCAGCCAGCCGCGGGCAGTCTTCATTCCACAAAATCCCCAGCGCCCAATAGCCAAAGAAGCACGAAAGACCTTCGTGGGCAAGAGCCCAGTAGCAGTCCAAAAATAGACGCCGCGGCAAGTATCAAGAACGAGGGTGATCAACTAGAGGATGAGCTGGAAGAGCAACATAAAGAGAAACTGCAGCCTGCCAAGGACAGCTTGGGTTCCATTAAAGCTGCAAGTTCGAACAAGCAGGGAACGGCAGATGGCTTGAGTCCAAAGTCAGGTAGCATCCCGAAGGCCACCACAGCACAGGGCGTCGAGCAGGTGCAACTTGGCATTGGAGGATCCAAGAATGAGAAGCTGTCGGACAACTTGAGACTAAAATCAGGCAGTAGTCAGAAAACAGGTGCAGAAGGCAAGAAAGAAGGACAGAAACTTGTCATCGGAGGCTCCAAGGAGGAGAGAACCTCAGACAACTTAGGACAGA